CCCTCTGAATATCAATATTAGCATAGCCAGCAGGGAATTTATTGTCTACTACAACAAAGAAATTTGAGTTGATTCATACAAGTTTATTCACATATTTACTAGTTTAAAAGGTATAATGACTTATTCTATTATTCTACTGTTCAAAGTTAAAAATTTAAGAGTCTTTGTTTTGGATCAACTCTTTCCTCAAATGTTCTCTAAGCAAGTAATCAAATAGAGCCATGGATGTTACATCAAGAATGGTATCTTATAAACTTTCTAACCACTCCATATAAAATAAATCAAATTACTCTAACCCAAGAAAATAAAAATAACTAGGCAAGCATTTCTAATAAAGTTGATAAAGGCAATTAAAAACTGTTTAGTTTTGAAAGTAAGATCCATGAAATGCTCAGTGAAATTTGTAGTACTGACAATGCATTGACTTTAAACTTTAGAATAAAAATTTATTAAATCCCACTAAGCCATTGTGCAGCATATTAGTAACTTTATGCATATGCCTCAAACAGATGCAGTTAATGCCCATACCTAAAGGGGTTATTGATCGTGGTTGTAGATGAGTCTCCCACTTGTGAACTATGACTTGACATGGACCACCGATAGTCTGCAATTTAAAAGTTAAACGTCTGCAATAATTTCTTATATCTTATTTTCTACCCATGACTCCGTTAGATGTTTGTGTCCTAAGTCTTATACTAAATATGAGACCAAGAGATTCATCTTGGTAATTATCAATATTATATGCCAAAAATCAGAATGTACCAGGTCACAAAACATGATGAAACGCTGGAAGAAAATAAGAGTGAGGCAGTAAACAAAGAAAAATGAGATGAACTGGCACATAAAACTGTTTTGAACCCATTCTTAAATCTGCTCACAATACTCCATGTTTTTCAAAGAAATTTTAATTTTTAACTGATATTAATTCTGTCCTAAGTTAAACACCAAATATACAGTCAATGAGGTATTTCTAGATAAGGTATCCAATTCCTGTTCTATTTAAGTAAGTCTCCAAGTGCTTAGAAAAAACCAAATCTACAGTAGCAGAAATAGTAGGAACAAGTACTTCCAGATCAGTTATCACAGGTGACTCAGGGAGCTAACAGGCATAATAAAGTTCTTATTTTAAGAATAATAAGTGGAAAATAAGAATATCAGAATTCTCATATCATAGTAACCAGTACTCCTAAAGGGCATAGAAATCCTAAAAGAAAGGACACATGGATGGGTAAATTTGAAGAACAAGTGTGACAAAAGGGAAGCTAACATCCAGTTTCATTCTCATGCCTTATAGTTTATAAACTCATACAGTGTGACAATTCCTCATACTGTCTCCTGTTATCAAATCCCCTTACTAAAAAAGAAAACAAAGCTCTATATGCTGTTGACAACACAGAGCAATTTTTAAGCAATGAACTAGCAAAGATGACCTGAGTATATCTAAAAGACTGAAGTTTAAAAGTATCTTAATTTTCCTTTAATTATTAAAAAAATTAATTAAAATTATGTGCCAAAAATAAATCCCTTAAATACACATTTTAGAAGCAAATTTTCAGAGGAGATCAGGCACATTCAGGGTGGTATGGCCATAGACTAGAACCAAATTTTCAAGCTGTAACCTTACAGGGTACTTTAATTTTTTTCTTTTTTACATGATCGCTAAGAAATCTAATTAAATATAGAGAATCAAAAAGAAAATACAAAAATCACCCATTATCACACCATTTAGGGATAATCACTATCAACATTTTCATATATAATCTTTGAGCCTCTTTCTAGGCATCTATTACATATACTCTTTAAAAGTCTGGAAAATAAAACTTCCTTCTATATAGTATATATCTGTAGCTAGCACTAAACACTCTTCTATACATTTTACAGGAATTTAACACTGATTATATGTGCCAAACAATAATACATAACAAATTAACTGATAATACACAAGAGATAGTTCTGTTACTTAAATAACCAGGTTAAATTCTTTTAATTTGCAAACTTTTGAAGTTTAAAAACTAAAACAGCATTAGATATTCACTCAAATAATTAAACCTGGGATATTAAATGAATGCTTTTTCTCAAGCTGAATACCTCCCTGCTAGAAGGGTTCACTATGTTGACTGGGTAAAATTTTTATTCAAAAATGTAATTTGAGCCTGTTCATCTTAATATATGAATTTCATATCCAATATACTAAAAAGAAGATACACTTATTTGATCCTACATGTGCTGTATGTTTTTTACTACAACTTTTTTCCTGACACATTTTTAAAATGTGTTTCAGCATCAAACTTTCTAACCCTCAAAAGATACAAATGTATACATTAAAAATAGAAATAATGCTTCTTAGCAATGATAAGCAGTCAGGAAGAACTAACCAACCATGCCTTTCCTCCATCCCTTCCATGGATGGAGGGGATGTCCTCCCGCCTGACTGTCCTCCCGCCTCCACCACCACTAAAAGAAACTTCTGGGAAGGTGGTATGGCCCTATATCCTTATAAAAGTTACTAATCAAAGGTGAGTTGACAAGGGTGGCACGAATATAAGATTAAATGTCAACAGGGATAAAAAGTGGGTAAAGAAAGGGAGAGGGTTTATTTTGTTTTAATTCAGATGTCAGGGGAACTTTACAAAGTATTAACTGTAGCACCTAATCATGTAAGAATCATCCTGTGGATTAAATGTGATAGGGAACATATTTTAGTAGCAATTTTGTTTCGTTTTGCTTTTCTGAGACAGGGTCTCACTCTGTCACCCAGGCTAGAGTGCAGTGATGTCATCATAGCTCACAGCAACCTCAAACTCCTGACCTCAAGCATTCCTCCTGACTCAGCCTCCCAGAGGGCTAGGCATGAGCCATCGCACCTGGCCCTTTTAGTAGCAATTTTAACATCTCCACTCCCATCTACTTTAGTAACAAACCCACTATCCACAGCATAAAACAATCTGGACTTGAATAGAGTATTTGAGGAGCAATCCAATGGGACAGTTTTAAAGATAACTTACATCTATTAGCATTCACATTACAAATCCATGTTGGTTGGTACATAAAGTGTTATAATATAGAGAAAAAGAACCTAGTTTTGAAATACATTCAATTTCCAAAATTGTTATGACTACTTTATTAAACTTTAGAAGGTAACCTTAAATTTTATCTTTATATAAGTTCTTAAAAAAACTTAAGACCAGAGCGTTAGAAAGTTCAAAATCTCAGTGATGACTCCAAAACATGCAATTCTTTCTAATACACTAACTGTAATAGCTCATTTTTCAAGATCTTAGAAAAAGATCAGTTCCACTCTGCAAAAGGCTGCAGCAATTTTAAGCCTTTTTGAGTAAAGTAGAAGGTGGATCTTTGGAGAAAAGAGTATCAGTCTAAGACAATATTCCATTAATAGTATTGGAAGAGTTACTGCACAATGTAGCATATATAAAATCAGATGATTGCAGAAATGTTTTCAAACATGCATATTAACAAAAATATTTTTAAAAAAATCAATGTTTCCACATGAAAAATTCTTAACGACTGCTTTCTTAAGCAACTATTGACATCACTCAGCTACATCAAGAACTGAGAGAAATAAACAAAAGGCTACCCAACATGTAATGTGGGGTTTTGTTTTTAACAAACCACCAAGCAAAATTATCAGTTCTGTAATATTACTGTTTGCGTGTATCATGAACTTTTAAATTTTTTACTGATTATTTTCTTTCCACAATTGTGAAAACAACCTGCGCGTAAAGGGGGATCTGAGGAATTTTTATCTGTGATGCCACACAGAGGCCAGACCCACAGTTATTTAAAAAGGACTTATTTTTAGTAAGTCCAGTAAGAAAGATGGTCACCAAAAAAAAAAAAGAAAGAAAAAGAAAAGAAAAATGGTCACCTAGGCATGAGTAAAAAGCAAAGGAAGCTAGGCAAACAGACATCTCTGTGAAAGTTCATAGCTCGACAGCTGGGAGTGTTTAGCATCCAGAGGATAATTCTACTATACTAAGAAACCACTGAAGAAAATGACAACCTAGGCTATTCTGAAAATGAACAATTATATGCCTATCACAGATGGTTGATTCTTTTGTTAAAGGATTTAAACAAAAATCAAGGGAGATTAAGATCTAAATAAGAAAGTTTGTAACGAATCTAATTATGACTGTGTGTTAGCATCTACAAAAGTTAGAAACACCAGTATGTTACTGAAAAATAAAGACCTATTTTCACAAAAATGAAGGAAATATTTCATAGGATATAATTAAAAACTGGCTAACATTTCACTATGAGGAAAGATCCCTAATTATAGCCACCAGCAAAGAGGGGTGAATATGCAAAAACATGTTTAAATTACATGTTAATTCAAAAAGGATCTTGTTGAAGATATGAAATCAACATACTATCTGCAGACTCATACCAATGTTTTCATTTCATTTCAGTAATACACTACCTCTGTGTGCTATGTTTAAATTATATTTTGCTTTGACATCTGTAAAATTACTTTAAAATTTTGACACATTAATATCTTATTCTAATTTACAAAGTGTAAGAGAACTAACAGCTGGGAAAAATTGAGAAAAATGATTTCAGAACTCTTAACTTCTAAACTAAAAGGAATATGCCAGAAAAAGCAAAGCATGGAAGAGAAAAATATGAATGGTAAAATTTTATTTGCTCAATAAAATTTTAGCGATGAAAGGGATTTAAGAAGTCTATAGTACAAACCCTTCATTTTACAGATGAGGAAGCCGAAGCCTAAAGGTCAAGTGGCTTGTCCAAATATCAAGAGACTTTTAGCTTAGGTAAAACTTCCTGAGGACACTACCTCTTAAAACTTTTGACCCAGTAAAATTAATCTTATCTCCCATTTCGGCTTTTAAATGCTTTCACAATTACTTTGCTTTCCTATCATGCTTTATATTCATAACATACAGATTCCAATAATTTACATCATTTCATAATTTAAGGTCCCTTATACATTACTTCTATCATTTGACAATGCACAACTGAAACAAAGTTTCATAATATTTATATAATATTACAAATGTTTCATTTAAAAAGCGCCACCAAATTTTAAAAGAAGTGTCACTTTAAGCTGGCATGTGGGAAAAAAAAAACTGTAGCCATATGCATGGGATTTTATGTAGCTATTTATTCTAGTCCATGAAAAACATACTTACCATGGCAGCCCCTGCATCACACGGTACATGTGTACGCGATACAGAGCACCTACTTAAAGAAACACACTCACCAACATATACTGTAAACTTTTGCAAGTATTACAAGCGGAAAAACTTGTTTTTTTACTGCTAAGCAGACTTCTTGCCAATTTTTTTCAAAAGGCATTTTGGGCTGATTTTCTGCTTATGGTTACATTTTCATTGAAGAGGAAAAATACTATAGGTTGGCTTAATTTGACCTGTGTTGACAATAGTCTTACTTTAGAAAACTATGCCCAAAGGACTCATTATGATCTTTCTTGTCCAAATACTCCTTGCTAAGTAAAATTTAGTTGATTTCACAGGTTACAAAGCTAAATTTCATATACCAGGATCCTCAGATAAACTTCCAATGGCATGAGCTATGACCTATGTATCTATACACAATAGTTCAATTTATATTGAAGAACTCTGTCATGATGTGTATGTAACTCCTATGCCAAATAAATGATAGATGCCCCTTTCTTAAGTTGTTAAAGTAAGACTATTGTCAAGAAAAGCCAACACAATGATCAACCATAATGTAATTTAAGTTCAATCACTGAATAGTTACAAAATATTCTCAGAATAAGAAACGTAATAGGTGCAAAAGACAGCTAAAGTGGGTTTGTCAGTTTTCTTTCCTTTTTTTTTCTTTAAATAATGGTGGCTAAGAAAATGAAGTAACAGTGGCTGCTTGCATTTTTCACATGTAACAAAAGTATTCAATGACCCCCAAAGGAAATACATTCTTTAAAAAGATGTAATCCATGTTTTTTCCTAGACTCCTGCCCTAAACCTTTATTCACATGCAACCCCAGGGTGCCAAAGGTAAAAATCTGAAGGAAAAGAATCCTTTCAGCAAATAAATATCTTTAGAATGAAAGGAAAAGAATTGACTTGCTTTTCTAAGTATGAAAACAATCCCAAAATAATGAATCACTGTGAACAGGCAGATTTAGAATTAATAGATATTCCAAAGACCTTCAGAAAAGATCCTGGCTTATCAATACAATCTTTAGAAAAATCTAAGAGGAATCAATTTTGGATTTCATGCAGCCACTAAGAGACGGCTGCTGCAAAATAATTTTTAAAAAAGAAATTACTCACTTAAAGCTATGTATTCCTCTAAATGTATTCACCTCACATTAGGATTAAAAAACAAAAGAAAAACCTCTGCAATGGGTTACTAACTAGTTTACAAATTATAGAAAATGCACACGTATAGAGAACATTATTAAAATTAATTTCACGATAAGAATATTGCAGAACATACTTACTATGTCTTTTTAAAATTCCGTGGCAGATATCATCTGCCTCTGAAGTGGCTACTTTCCTTGTTTTTAGTACTAAAATATTATTAATCAAGAGTTCTACTCTTTATTTGACCAAACTCATTTTACTATTAATGTTTTCAAACTTAACTGAATTGCTTTTGAAAGAAGTGCTAAAGAAATTGGAAACTAGATAAAGAAAACATACCTTTGGTTCTAAAAAGTACCCTTTGAAGTAGCGATACTGAACTGATATTCCTCTACTGAGTGCAATGGTTGCTTTCCATAGCATGCTGTGAAGAAAAAAAAATAACAGCAATAGCATCAATATCAAACTACAATGCATTAAGACCTCTTGATCCACAAAACCCTTCAAATAAAATCTGTGATCAATACCATTCATTTATATTCCTACACAAAATTTTACTCAAGGCCCACTCTGCAGAATAAATACTGCAGAAAAAGACTCATCTTCAAGGAGCTTCCTTTGCTGTGTGGGTAGACGAACAACCAAACAAGATACAACAGAAATTTTGGAGTAGCCTTTTGGAAGGAAGACCTGCATGAGGAAGAATATCTGAGCTGAGACCTACATGATGGGAAGGAACTAGCCATACAAAGAGCCAAAGTATTCCAAACAGAAACCCACATAGCGCAAAGGTGGAAGCCAGAGTCAGAATCTTCTGACATTCCACTTAGCTGCGGATGTTACACGGCTGCTAAAAGACTTTGGGCCCAAGGCTTTTGCATCACAAGTGAGTGATGCACACTGGTAAATTACATTCACGTTACTTACTGTCCCTTGTTCTAACTGTCCTCCCCAGGCTCTGATTATTCCCCTAGCCAAGCAATCAGTACCTGTATCTTGTTTCAGCTCCATGTCTTCCTCTGAACTATACCATTCTAACAGAAACTAAAGCTTTGACTCAACAGCTGCCTCAAAGTGAATTCACTACAATTCTTAATCATAACTGATTTTTAACTTCAGATCATAAACCAATTATATCCAAAGTGCAGTCCCAGGAGCATCAGTATCAGCTGGGAGCTTCTTAGAAATGCAAATTATCAGGCCACACCCAGACCTACCAAATTAGAAAATCTGGGGGTGAGGGCCCAGAAATTTGTATTTTAACAAGCCTCCAGGTGACTCTCACGAACACTTAAGTTTGAGAACCACCGTCATAGACCATTACCCAAACATTAATTCAGCATGGGTAGTTCAGTGAATAAACGGCAACCCCAAATGTTCTTCCACGATGCCAGATGGCTAACACTGCTCTCCACCTGGCTCCACCATGACAAGTTTTAGGGCATTATCCTCACTCTGATGCAACCCTGGCTCCTAACAAAATACAGGCATACCTTGTTTATTGCACTTCACTTTATTATACTTTGCAGATATTGTGTTTTTTTTACAAATCGAAGGTTTGTAGCAACCCTGTGTTGAGCAAGTCTTCTGGTGCCATTTTTCCAATAGCATGTGCTCACTCTTTGTCTGTGTCACATTTTGGTGATTCTCACAGTGTTTTACACTTTTTCATTGATGATTGAAGGCTACAGAGAAATCTTTCATGAAAGGAAGAGTCAATGTGGCACACTTCATTGTCATCTTACTTTTACAAATTGCCACAGCCACCCCAACCTTCAGCAACCACCGCCCTAATCAGTCAGCAGCCATCAACATCGAAGCAAGACCCTCCGCCAACAAAAAAGATTACAACTCGCTAAAGGCTCACATGACTGTTTTTTAGCAATAAAATATTTTTTAATTAAGGTACATATATTTTTGTAGACACACTGCTACTGCACTAAACAGACTACATAACTTTAATATGCATCAGGAAACAAAAAAAACCTCACATGACTCACTTTATGGCAGTATTTGCTTTATCGCAGTAGTCTGCAACTAAATTCACATACTTCCAAAGTGTGCCTGTATCCACAACCAACTGTCACCCATGGTCCCAGCTCGAACAATCAGGTGAATCTGGTAGTAATAAAATACATATGCCCTGGCTCCACCCTGCGAGATCCTGATTACACAGGTTTGGGGTGGTGCCTGGACCTATGTAAACTGATAAAACTTTACAGGGCGCTCAGATGGATATGACTGGTTACAAATCACTACTGTAAAGCAAGGATAGCAAATACTTGGCACATGTGTCCCTACTTTTAACACAGGTCTCTAGGCAAACTGTACCAACTCAGAGTAGAAATTTGCCATCTCTGCTACAAGAAAAAAAAAAAGACAAATTTCCAGTACTATTTCATCCACAAAACAGCCAGAGTATGTGAAACTAGCCACAGATATGTATAGTAGAATTAGTGGTAAGAGCTGAAAACCGGCTGGGCGCGGTGGCTCATGCATGTAATCCTAGCACTCTGGGAGGCTGAGGTGGGAGGACAGCTTGAGCTCAGGAGTTCGAGGCCAGCAAGAGCAAGAGCAGGACCCCATCTCTACTAAAAACAGAAAAAATTAGCTGTGCGTTGAGGCAGGAGGATCGCTTGAGCCCAGGAGTTTGAGGTCACTGTGAGCTAGGCTGATGCCACAGCATTCACCAGGGAAATGGAGTAAGACCCTGCCTCAAAAAAAAAAAAGAGTTGAGAAATGTGCTGGGGCCCCCTCTCATCCACTATTTCTCAATCTCCAGGAGTAGGATCTAGGCTCTTTTTTTTTTTTTTATTTAAGTCCTCCCATGTGATTTGAATGTGTACTCCTGGTTAAAAACCACTAAAATGGCCAGGCGTGGTGGCTCATGCCTGTAATCCCAGCACTTTGGGAAGCTGAGGCTGATCACTTGAGGCCAGGCATTCATGACCAACCTGGGCAAAAGAGCAAGACACTGTCTCTACCAAAAATTTTTAAGAATTAGCTGAGGTGGCATGCGCCTATAGTCTTAGCTATTCAGGAGGCAGAGGTGGGAAGACTGCTTGAGCCCAGGAGTTGGAGGTTACAGTGAACTATGGTTGAGCCACTATACTCTAGCCTGGGAGACAGAGCAAGACCTCATCCCCTGGGAAAAAAAACACACACACACACACACTAAAAGAGAGGGAGAAAACAAAGCAATGAGTCTTTTTACCTCACTTCTCCAAGCAAATTCAGCAAAATTAAGAATGAAGCACAATGGCTCAGTGAAGACTGAACATAATCTGATAAAATTCAAGAAAACCCAGGAAAGAAGGGCAGTGAGGTGGTTTAGTGTGGCTGTCTGATTTTGAATTGCCCTCATATCTTCTCCCAAAATACCACAAAATCTTAACAGGGAGAGCAAATAAAACCACAAGTGACCCACATCTTTGGCATTATTGGAAAACAATACTATGATGTTCAAATTATCTGCAAGTAGAAAAAACATTCCAACAGAGCTCTAGCTGCCATGAGCCTATAGGTATGGCGAGCTGGGGAGGTAAGGTTTAAGAGCCTACGACAGAGGAGCACAGAGGACTCAGATGCATGGTAGGTACACTGAAATCCCAAAGAAACAATTCTAACACAAGAATGTTGTCTAAAGGCAAACACATTCTCTCATATCGTCTGCTTCCTTTCTCCCTATGAAAGGCTCTTTATCTGTTATACATGAATCAATTCTACTTCAGTGCACATCAATTTATAACCCGCTGGTCCTTTAAAGTTACATAGTTAAATGTTGTCTCATTCTGTTCACATTACTTTGACCAAGTTGGCTAAAATCAACTTAAGACAGGCAGAGGTGTGTTTTAGGGACAAGTTCAGAAAGATACGAGGTTTCACTTCAGACAGGAGTGGCTGATCTGCAAATCAAGGAAAAAATAGCCACTTGAAGGGAACGACCAGTACGTGTGAGGCAGTTAACTGCAGAAGGGCCACCGGCACCCACGTCTTCCTTTCCACAGTCCACTGCACCCAGACTAAGTTTAGCTGGACTTAAAGCTGCTAGTGATACATTTATTTACATTAGCTAAGATATCTAAGTATGCGTTCCACACTCTGCCCCTTCTAATACCATGTACTTCTCAGGAAAATAATTTTATAGGCAAAAACAGAATTAGATTTATTATCAAGAATATATATGTAGAAGCCAAAAGATAATGCCTGTAAGTTTTTTAAAAAATAAGAAAGCAATATAAGCCTGTTAATTAGAAATACTGTGGTAAGTACCTAAATAACCAGTCAATCAAGTGGTTGTTGGGCTGGGCGTGGGGGCTCATGCCCGTAATCCTAGCACTCTGGGAGACCGAAGCAGGTGGATCGCTCGAGGTCAGGAGTTCGAGAACAGCCTGAGCAAGAGCGAGACTGCAGCTCTACTAAAAAACAAAAGAAATTAGTCAGACAACTAAAAATATATAGAAAAAATTAGCCGGGCATGGTGGCGCATGCCTGTAGTCCCAGCTACTCAGGAGGCTGAGGCAGAAGGATTGCTTGAGCCCAGGAGTTTGAGGTTGCTGTGAGATAGGCTGATGCCATGACACTCTAGCCCAGGGAACAGCGTGAGACTCTGTCTCAAAAAAAAAAAAAAAAAAAGAATTGAGTGGTTGAGAGGCAGAGATTAAGGAACAGAGGAATCTGTTTTTTTGCACGAACTTTGCAAAACTATTTCACTCTTTCAACTACACAAATGTGGTAACTTTGACAAAAATTAAAACTAAAAGAAGAAAACCACCAAGGTATCTTAGAAGCCCCTACATTTATAATCTGAATGTTGCGGTTATTCTGTAACCTGACGTTTCCATGCCTACCTTTCACCTGTCTCGTTCTCTGGAAGAAGAGTCACAGCATTTTGAGGACTCCAGTTTCCCAAAGCATCACAGCTTCCACATATTGCAAAAACTTCTCCTAAAGAAACAAAACAATCAGTTACAGAAGGATAAATAAGAAAGCTTCAGATTTTAGTTTTAGGGAGCAAGAAAAGAGCAGTCAATTGCACTAGTTAGTTCAACCAGATGTGGAATCTCGTTTAGCAGAGAAGTGACTCACTGGAGGCATGGGTCTGGGCCCAGGTACCACACTAGCACCTGCACATTAACTTGACTCGCCTCTCCAGAAACCGGGAAGGCATAGGAATGCACTTTTCTTCATCTGTTCAACTACTTATTAAGCCAGTAACAAGCACCCAAGAATACAAAGTGATCAAACCACAGTCCCCACCTTCATGGCAGCTTCCAACTTAAAGGGGCAAACATTAAGTGCATATTAAGTATTCTAGAGAAATATTAATCAGTATCTTTGAGGAACTATTAACAAGCTAAAGATCAAGAACACTATTAATGCGACAGAAATAATGTAATTAAAAACCCCACAAAACAAAGACTTATATAGTGAAAAATCTATTACTAGTACTTGTTACAGAAATAATGGCTATCATTTCTTCTGAACGCTTTTCATCAAAAGACTTAAAAGTTGGCCAGGTATGCTAGCTCACACCTATAATCCCAGCACTTTGGGAGACTGAGGTGGGAGGATCACCTGAGCTCAGGAATTCAAGACCAGCCTGGGCAACACAGCAAGATCTCATCTCTACAAAAAATGAGCCACAGGTGGTAGTGCATGCCTGTAGTCCTGGCTACCTGGGAGGCTGAGGCAGGAAGATTGCTAGAGTCCAGGAGTGCCAATCTGCAGTGAGCTCTATGACTGTGCCACTGCACTCCAGTTTGGGTGACAGAGACGCTGTCTCAAAAATAAAATAAAAGACTTTTTAAAAGCCAACATAAAACTTTCATCTCTACTTGCTAAATCTTGTATATTTAGCAGACGTCTACAAATTCTTGGATACAAGTATGCATAAGTCTTTGACATATATCAACACATTGTGAATAAATATAATTAAAATTCATAAAGAAAAATACAATGAATTGAGTCCAAATGCTAATTTGGTTCAAGACAAACTCCTCCACATTCTGAAAACTGGGCTTCCAACCTTGAGGCACTGCTCTAGGAAGACTAGAATTGTGGTAAGCTTTGGCCACCTGCATGAGCATTTTGTAAGCCTGGACTGTAAAATTCCAAGAGTGATAGTCATTCAGTTTTCAGGACTAGAATTGCATGTGTGTGAAACACAGCATGGTTAAGGATTTCATGTCAAAATATCCACCAATCCATGAAAGTAACCAGATTTTTTTTTTTTTTTTTGCAATTAACTTAGGTATCGCTACCTTCCCTGATTTAAAAAAAAAAACAAAAAAAAACGGGGAGGGGGTAGCATAAACAATGGAGCTAAATGTAAGGCACAAATATTCATTTCCAAGATCACTATGTTGATTGCTACGCATATATGTAATATATGTTATGGCTCCTGGCTCCCAATGTACAGGCTACCACAAAATCACTGATTTGGGCCCATCATAGTTCTTTCACAAAGGAGAGTCTCATTAAAACTTTTTCATGGAGTCAGCTATTTCTAATCCCCGCCCAAAACAGCAGGCTACTTTATGCTCTGAAAAGAACATAGAGCCCAAATGGAAAAAATGAAACTTGGGCAAATCAGTGAGTGGTTCACTTTCCTCCTATAGGTGCTCCTGCATTCTACCACTTCCCTCCTGCAGAGTTATTTCTCCTTTTGCTGATTCCCTGGGATTATGGCTTCTGAAAAAAGGAAACTTTTCACTAGAACAAACAGCCTCTTTCTTTAATTGGCCCTCATTTATAACAGATTATAAAGGCTTGAATGCTAACTAAAGGAATCTGCAAACAGTAACTCCACATATTCTTTTTACTTGTTCCCTCCAATTTCACTCCTCTCTGCACTCCCCACTCTCCACATTCAGCAGTGAACCCTTCCTCCCATGCAGTGAGGAAATCAAGGTGATGGAGGAGTTGAGGTGAGGAGTCTCCCCAACATCCTCTTGCTGTCCCTCTACCTCCTCATCCCCACCTACAGGGTCCTCTACATCCACGTCAACCATTCTCTTCTTCCCTCTAATCCCTAAGAATAAGTGTCCCCCTCACCATGCTGACCCTTCTATAGCTAATTTTGTGGTCAGTCCATTTGCCTGACATGGCCAGCTCCTTCTAGCTTTAACTGCCTGCCTACAACTCCCTAAAAGGTTACAATATAGTTCTGCAGTCTTCTCTCCACAGAGGAGGACACACACTAGACCAGAGGTGAGCACTTGATGGAGCCAGTCCATCAGCTGACTAGCAATCTTCAATCTGCAGAACTCTGCCCAGAGGTACAGCTGTACCTTGGTTAAGGATCTGAACTTAGACGCGCGCACGCGCGCGCGCACACGCACACACACACACACACACACACACACACACACTCTTTCTCTGTCAACTGCTGAAATGAGTGCTAGAACAAAGATGTTAGATGTAAAGTGAGTCATTCATTCATTCCTTGAATACATATATACTCCTGCTCTGAGCCAGGCACTGTGCTAGGGGCAAGAATTCAGCATAAACAAGACAAGGTCACATTTTCATGGAGTTTACAATCTGTCCATAAACAAAATTACTCAAATAATTCTATAAAATCTCTTAAAGGTGCTACAAAATCATGCTGGAACCCTGAGAGAATTTCACAGGGGCCTTAACCTAGTGGAATGTGGGATTGTGGGGGGAGGGGCGTCACAGATCTAGGCAGAGGAAACATAATTTGAGAAAGTCCCAAACGAGGAAGAAAGAAGAAAGGAATGTAGCAGATTTGAAGAACTGAAAGAAAGGCCAGTACAGCCAGAGTATATAAGATGGGGATGTACAAAACCCAGGTGCGATACTATTTTGACATGCTATCTTACACTAAAATTGTTTCACAGTGCTTTATTAGATAACGAAATATAGATATTCACAAGAACAAAGTCATCTCAGCCAAATATTTCATCAACTTCTTACACTAGTAAAATTTCCCTCTTTTTCATGTTACTCAAACATCATAGCCCAACCATCTTTGTGCTGTGCAAAATTAAATTCACAGCTTTCTTGGAAAACACAAAAATAAGATACTTACTATTTGAGGAGGTTTTTTGTTGTTGAGTTTACCATGCTCCAAGCACATTTCTAGTATCAGTCAAGACCGAAAGATGTTTTCATCTAAAAACCAGGCCCACTCTAATAATAGCACTATATTTGAGATAATCCAGATAAGAAAAATGTTCACTTAAGACATTGTTTTAAAGTCAAACTTTACAATACCTGGTAAAAGAGTTCCTCTTATTTCAAAGGTAACCTGAGAAGGCGTCATTCTGATGGATTTATTCTAGGATGTTGTCCTAGGAAGAAAAAAAAAGCTGTCATTTACAGCACATGAAAATACCATCAAGAAACAAGTTAAAACAAGAGCTATGTTTATATTTTCAAAAGCAGTATTTAATATCTTTGCAGCTTTATGCTGGGTCTTGTTTTTACAAAAATAACCAATTTTGATGAGTGGGGGAAAAAGGAAAAATAGAAACAAGTAAAAAATGAAAAGTAATCTCAACCATGGGCAAAAAATTCATTTCAGAGTCCTTATGTATAAACTAAATGAATTACCTGGGAAGTATCTAGCAAGTTTTAAGGCTTGACGTTACAAACCTACTTTGAAAGAATGTATAGATCTGAAATATGTGCTGCAAAACAAAAAGTGTCCAAACTTTTTTATTTTTAAGGGGTCAAGATTCTCTGGCCACGTATTAATGCTTTCTCTTCTAAAAAGCAACTGTTCTGAATTCAACCTATCTTTTCCTGACCAGGCGTGCCTTACGGTGAACGAAGAAAAAAAACGAAGACAGGAAATAGCTCGGCTCAAGAGGACTTCTATTTTAATAACAAAGTACCAACTTTAATAACAAGGAAACCACCAAAAAACTTAAGTACTACCCATTGAAACAAACTAGTTATGTTCTCCAAGTTTGAGAATCGGTTTCTAAGACACATGTAACTAATCACTAAAATAAAACCTCTTTCCCCCCACAAAGAACTTTGCAGATTTTCTCTTTTTATTAACCATGGTACCACCATTGCTCAAGTTCTACAGGCTCAAATTTAGTGTCTCAACTCTACAATCTATTACCAAATCTTGTTGATTCTATCTAATTGATCTTATATCCATGCCTTTCTTTCTAAAGGTATCAACTTCATTCAAATCCCTAAGTCTCCTACCCTTATTTAGGCTTTTAAATCTCTTCCCAGTAATACATTTTATGTCAATTAAAATATCCTTCCTCACGTCCCTGGCTTGGAATTACTTTGAGGTCCTTTATGGCTTATCTGCATTTTCCCTCTAGCTAATTTTTTCATTTCTTCCCTAGCTTTCTGAGGCTAATCTGTTTACCATTCTCTAACATAAGTACCCAAGGGAAGACAGAAAATAGGTTTAGAAAAAAATATATACAGACATAATATACCTCAAGATAATTAAATAATTTAAATCGAGAAAGAATACATACTCCATACAAGGACACATCATATTCTATATAACTTCTCCAACACCCCTGCTTTTGTACCGCAATCCACCAATGTTCCTAAAAGAATTCCAATCATGTCTTTATTCTGCATCATTTCCATTACTTTACCAGCTTAAATTATATTTGCACTTACATATTACTACTTTATAAAACAACGCGAAAGTACCTCTCATAGTTATTTATTCTTCTATTTCTCCTTTGCTCCCTTTCCCTTCCTCCTGAACACATTCATAACTCTGCAATGGTCATTTAACGAACACTGCTACCCACAGTTAAACACACTTCCAAGTCAAGGTAAGTGGATCTATACCAGCAGTTCTCATGGAAGGCAACTTTGCCCTGCAGGGATATTGGGTAATGTCTAAAGGCCTTTTTGGTTATCATTCGGGAGTGATGCTCCTGGCATCTAGTGGGCAAAGGAGCGAGGAGTGCTGCTAAACACCATACAATGAAAAGAACAGTCCTCCAGGAATAATTGGCCAGCTCCAAACATCAATAGGGCTGAGGCTGATAAACGTGATCTATATATCTACAGAGATCTGTTATGAGAACCAGGAGTCTGAGCTCAATGTTAGCTATAAACCATGTATCATCACATTCACATCAATTATAAAATGTAAACATTGTGTATTTTTTTTTTCCATGCAGAGAGTCCAAGACCACCGGTCTCCATGGTGTCATACCACACTTGGATGAATTCCATGCCTAGCAACTCTGTTTTGGTTAGAAAACCCAAGACTCTGCACTAGAGAAAACCTGCCCTTTACCAAAATAATTTCTAAGATACTCTATTCTACTTTCTGTGTCTAAGAGTAAACACGATCTATTTAAGCACATACATCCGGTTCTAGCACTGCCAAAGAATGCTGCAAACCTACAAATAGCTCTAGATTGTGACCCCCTCATCAGCCTATTGTTCTCTATCTCAATAGTTCCCTTTTAACATGACATCTGATATGAATCTGAGTACAACACTAATATAAAGTATTTTCTTTTCTAATAAATAAAATGGTTCATTGAAGCACTGCAACCTGACATTTAAGATATCTCTTATCATATTAACAAGAAACCTTGAAGCTAACAAAAAAGGTTGGCATTTAAGCTACCAAATTAATTTTAAGAGACAGCAAAAAAACCCATCATCCAGCAAAAGGGCTGAATGATCAACCTCAATATTAACCTGTAACATATACTTTCACCCAGTGTTTACTGCCATAGTTCTCAACTAAGGACAATTTCATCCACATGTTTACATTAGTTGGTACTCTATTTCTTGATCAATTTTAAGTAACTATTTTAATCAATTTAAGGGAAATTAGATGTTAATTATCCCTATGCATTAAAATCAACAGCTGGTACAAAATTACCTCTAGAGGGAAATCAACTGATGACTAAAATTGAGACTTTCATTCTTAAAGTTGTTTAGAAGAATGACTATAGTACCTTGGCAGTAAACAGCTGCAGTAAATGTATTATACGAAGCTATATACACAAAAACTGTATATACAAAACACCTTCCAGAAAACCTCCCCACAGTCAATAAAGCATCATCTTCTACTTGAATTGCCAAAAGTCAAGCAATCTGGTTCAATTTCCACTCCCAAAAAATGTACTACCATACCAAATAAAAGCCTGGGGAGCTGCTCCAATGGCAATTTACTTGATCATGGACAGAGGCCAAAGTTTTGGTGCAGGATTGAAGTGTACAATTTTGGCACTACCAAAACAGCAGTGACAAAGTAAAAAACTATTCTGTTGTGTAACAAAAAATTTACACACCCACCCATACTTCTTCCTCTTCCAAACATGCAAAAAACACCCCAACTTGGAGGGGGGAGGTCTTCTAGATAGTCATAAAATTAGAGTAAGATGGAAAAATGCTAGTCATTGTACGCACATGAGCTGATCAAACAGATCATTTAACCTACTCACCTATTACCTCACTCAGACTATAGATCCTGAGACAAGTTTTTTTTTTTCTTTAGTTTTTTAAAAATATAACCTCCATTTTGTTCTTTTTGAAGATAAATAAAAAACAGTACTCCCATATGAGATTTCGAGTACTATTTAACACTATTTTAACCCTTTAAAAAAAGACTCAAACAATTAGCAAAATATGATATTGTAAATAATTTACATACAGAGACTATACTTCCTGAGACAGGCTTTTGGGTTTTTTAATGTACTTTTTGAAGATAAATAATAAATAGCATTCCCAGCTGAGATTTCAAGTAGTACCTAACACTATTTTAACTCTTTTAAAAGACTCAAGCAATTAGCAAAATATGGTATTTTAATTAATTTATATTTTAAAAATTTCAAAGTTCACACTACCCAGCAAAATAAATTTTACTTTTTGTCAAATAAACTTTCCCAACACATGACCTTACTCATTTACCAGTTTGGGGAACAAAAGGGGAATTTAAGTAAACCAAAGTATGGAAACATCTAGTTTAGAGATAAACTGAAGTCAGATATTTTTAAAGTTTTTCTTACCTAAAAAAACATCTCTATTTTCATTCAGATTTTTTCAAGGAAAAAAGCTGTTTCCAGATCTCCTTGCTCCTTCCTAGACCTCAGAACCTTTAATCCTCATAACTATAATAAAGAAATATATGAAATACCTACATTTCCCTGAGTTAATTTTTCCTCATCTTGGTGGAAGATCATTATGACCTACTATTCTGATTTCAGCATACTTTAAGCCAATATTTTAATCAACTGTATGCAGACATTAATAGATTTTTATTAACAAAGCATTTCTGAAATAGATTTCTGGAAGCCAAGTCATTTCCTTGATCAACTTTCTAAACAATGTAGTAACATTTCCCCAAATGTTTTCCATTTCATTTTATCTTGGTATTATTTTCACATATATATTTCATACATTTTTCCTGCTTAAGTTATACACAAAGATCTGATTCATCAACTTAGTTTCTGTACATATCAAATTTTACACACTGCCACTTTTTTTACTTTGTGGTCACTATTTCTGAGTCCAACTTTCCTACACCTTATTTTTGCAGATTGAAATTTTATCTAGAATACTGGTTCTCTTTAGTTCTTGGTTCTTCCTAGTTCTTAAATCAGAAGTGGATTGGACCATGTGCAGCTTTACCTCTGTTAGCTTTATGTTGTTATTTGTATCCACAGCATTAAGGATTTTGGAAAGACTGATAGCTTGTATTTATTTCTTCCTTAAGTCACAACTGTCAGAAATGTAGCAAGGAGAAGCATGAAGAGGTAGAGTAGTTTGAAGGAGCTGCGCAGAAACTGGGAGGAGGGCGACAGAAGAGTATGAAGAAAACATCAGGTCCAAACATCCTGCTTGGTTTGCTCAGTTCCTGTGTTGGTGCTACAGACTCAACAGCTGCCTCAAGGTGAAAGAATTCTCTACAACTCATGTGTGATTTCCTTCGCAACTAGGCAGTGGACCCCGGGGAGGGGGCTGATACAACACTTAATTGATCGAGGCTTTCTCAAACTGTCAGCAAGGCAGTCTGAAGAGCTCTGGGGAAAAGTATAGCTTTGGAGACAAGGGGGCAGCAGTCTTAGAATTTTATCGAGGGCACTAATGACTATTCCTGGAACCTCTTCCTAGAAAAGTAAGGCACTTCGGTTTCTCGGAATAACAGTTACACAAACATGCCCTAGACTACGTCTTTAGACAACTTCAGAAAATAAGCAGTTGTCAAAACACTATGAATTACTTAGGGACAGAGACTGGTGATGGACGAGGGGTATGCCCTGTGGACGGGGTGCCCAGAGGACTTTCCCTGCATTTTTTGTTTCCTTGCTCCTTAACTTAGTACTTTGTATCTTCGTGGTGGTCCTACGCTCTACTCACTCTGGCCATACCTAAAACAGCCCAGATGTTTTTCAGAAGGGAAGTAAGCACCAGGCAGCCCAGCGGAATCTCTGCAGCAAACAAAAGTCAAAGAATGCGTCCTACCCGCCGACTTACCGCAGCCAACGTCACCGCCGCTACTTCCCCTGCGGGCAGCGCCCGCCCGGCCCGGAGAACCCCGGCCGCCCTCCGCGACCCCAGGCCGGGGACGCCCTGACAGCTCGGCCCGCCACCTGAGCGGCCGCCGCGGCCTCCGCATTCAGCGTCGGCCCGGCCCGGCCGGGCTGCCTCACCTGCCGGGTCCGCGGGTCCGCGTTGCCTTCGCCGCTGCACCCCAGAACGAGGGCCGCGGACCGAGATGCCGGGTGCCCGCCGTCCGCACCTCGCCAGCGCTCCCCCAGGCGGCCCGCGGCGGCGCCGAGCGGCAGGAAAAGGCTCCGCTCAAACCGGTTTCAGCTGCTCCAGACCAAACCGCCAGGCCACCCCGCGGGGCGGGGCCTGACGTCACGCCCGGCGGCGTCCCAGCCAATCGGAGGCCACGCGCGGGAGGGCGGGCCCACGAGTTCCCGGGCGGGGCCCGGGCTGCGGCTGGGTATCCCCGGGGTCCCCTGCACCCAACCCCTCCGCCTACGCGGTCAGTGGTGCCAGCGCGCAGGACACTTGCTGCATAACGTGGTGCCCCAAAACTGCCTTAGGGACAACGGAGGGTTGGAGGCTGGATCAGCAAATCTAAATTGCACTTTTTCCCCCATTTGAAAACGAGAGAAAATTAGCAGGACTGATGTTTTCTGGAAACTTTCTTTAGTTGTAGAACAAGTCACCATTGGATCAAATCATTAAAGTTGAAAATGAGGATTAGGTCACCTAAGATGGTTGGGAGTTTATGCCTTGGCTACGCAAAGTATGGTCTACAAGCCAGCAGCACCTGGGAGCTGTTAGAATTGCAGACTCACAGGCCCATCCCAAACCTGCCTAGTCAAATCTCTGTTTAGCAACTTCCCCACGTATTGGTATGCAAATTAAAGTTTGAAGGAACATTTCTGAAAGCAGAAAGACCCTCTCTGCAAAAGTTGTAGTCCTTTATTTTTCTGAAATGGGTCCTATCAAATCAAAATTTTTTTAAAAAAGCACAATTTTTTTTTCTCTTTTGGTTTCCCCCAGATTAATCAATATTTGCCACTTACCTAAGTCAAATTGTTACTCATGCACTTGTCCACGAGGCCGCATCAGAACAAGGACAAGTGGTTGAGGAGGAGGAAAGAGTTTATTACCTTGCCAGCAAAGGAGGAAAAATGGCAGACTCTTCTGTCAAAATCCAAATTTCCTGAACATAAGCAGAAATAAGGAGCTTTTAAAGAGAGGGCCCTCAGTCCTAGGCTATTGTCATTAACGTTCTAATCATCCTATCTCTGCCTAAGAGGAAGCCTGGGATGGACAATTCAGCTGAGCTTTCTTCTCTGAAGAACAAAAGACATTTGCCCGGCTCCTCCCAACCTTCTTCCCCAGAAGCAGGGATGCAGGCCTCAGTTTTCCAACAAGAGTGGGGGAAGTTTTAAGAGACAGAAAACATCTTTTCACCATTTTTTTTGCAGGCCAATCCCTCTGTTACACCAGCATCAAAGTTAACTGCTGATTAAGCTCTAATATAAAACTATGTTATCAGATTTCATTTAAATCAAATGAGGTATTGAAAACTAAAAAGAACCACCTGTTCAGGAGATGTTTAAGTTCTCTTTCAGTAAGAGTTTCAAATTCATTCCAATGGGCCTACTGAAAAGGTGTTTGGAATAGATGAGCTCTAACTATAGAGAGAGTTTCCGGTCTTATAAATCGTGTTGTTCCTGACCACATTCGATATTTGAGCTTGGATTAGATACCAAGGCATTTCTAACAATGTCGTCCAGTCAGTTAAATAATTATTAAGTACCTACTATCAACAGAAAAGAACCAAACTCTGTGAAATAATTTAAAGAGGTTTATTCTGAGCCAAATGTGTTCAACCATGGCCCAGAGAGCCATGCCCAAGAAGCCTTGAACAAGTGGTCTCCCCATGGTTGGGCTACAGTTTGGTTGTATACATTTCAGGGAGATAGGAATTATACATAAAGTCATAAATCAATACATGGAAGGTATACATTGGTTTGGCCAGAAAAGGCAAGACATTTCAAAGGGAATTTCAGGTTATGGGTTTGTAATTGTTCAAAGGAATGAAGCTTTCAAGGCTCAAAATGTTTTAAAGTTAAGATAAGGAAGTCTGTTAATCAGAGACAAGCCACCAAACATATACTTAAACTCAAGTGATCCGTTAAATAAATTGAGGACCTACAGGTGTGGTTTAAGCTTTATCTTGCATAGGCTTAGGCCTGTTAATGAGTTACAAAGGATCTCTCCAAGAAGAGAAAGGGGCATGTTGGAGCATGTCTGACCTCCCTTCTCATGGCCAGTAACTCAGCTTTAGGGTATTTCTGGGGTCCCCTTGGCCATGGGGGGTGCATTCAGTTGGCTGGGGGGCTTAAGATTTTATTTGAGTTCACAGTAGTTTGTGCTTAATCCCAAATTTCTTAAAGAAATAAAATTTCCTTCTAGTTATGTACCATTATCTGTTACATTTTGCTGTCCTACATTTCCAAAATAGCTTGGAGTTCGTTTCATTCCTTTGCTGTTGGTCATGCTTCAGTGATAAATTTTTTCATAAGTATTTGCTTCCTTTAAATGTTTATAGTATCAGCTCTAAGCAGCTCTGGAAAAAATGTGTTTGTAGTAGATCTTTATTTTCCTGTACTCACCATTTAGTTAAGCTATTATTTGCCTAATGTTTATAGTTCAAGTTGATAGACCTAATCCATGCTCTTTCCCTAAATGCTCTTGAAATTGGCAGAACAATTATACGTATTCAAAGGGATGCCATCATTGGGCCAAAAATTGAGAAACAAGCATTAGATGATTGACAGAGAAACCAAAACCCATCCAGGAGAAGAAGGGATTCCTGGAAATGCCATTTTACATGGCCATGGTTAGAAACTCTTTGATAATACAGTGTATTTTCAGATTACTCCATTTCCACCCTGATCTGATTGGCATATTAAAGTAGAGCATAGATAACACATTCCTTTCTCCTGCCACTTCTGTGGAATGTTACAACTTTTCAAACACATGGTTAATGAGATTAACTTAGGGCTTACCTCATTATTTCCAGAAGAGCTCCATATGTTATGGATTTTACAAAATATTTAACATTCATTATCTCGTTTGATTAAATAATGAAATATGTTGTCCCATTTGTCTGAAATCAACACCACAAGATCTCACTTTTATGAATTCATTTTTTAAAATCCAGTAGTAGTATTAGTGAAAGCTCAGTACTTATCCCTGAGGCCAAATGAAGAATGAGGACAAGTGGTTTGAGGAAAAGGAAAAACAAATTTATTGATTTGCCAGCAAATGAGAAGAATGGTAGACTCTTTCATTAAAGAAGCATCATCCCCCCTGTAAATAGCAATACAAGGCTTTTAAAGAGGGTTCTATAGCATCTCCAGTGAAGACAATCTCATGACCTCTGTCGGGAAAATTCTGTTGAGCCATCTCTTACAGTTTAAGACACTAGAAAACAAGGAACACTCCTCTGCCCCTCTGATTACTGGCCTCGGGCAGGAATGCAGGTTTTAATTCCTTAAAAAGGGTAATGAGTTTTAAAGGGACATCTTGTAAAACATGTTGCCCTTTTTCAGTCTTTACCTCTGTTACAGTAGTATTGATTTAAAAAGCTCTAGGCTGGGTTCAGTGGCTCACACCTGCAATCCTAGTATTCTGGGAGGCCAAGGCAGGAGGATTGCTTGCACTCAAGAGTTAGAGACCAACCTGAGCAAGAGTGATATCCCCCAGCCCTGTCTCTTTTTTAAAAATAAATAAATAAAAAGCTCTAGACTTAAAAGCCAGAGCTGGACTTGAATCCTATCCCTCACAACCTGTGACATTTTAAATATGAATCTTTGGTAAAAAAAAATTTACTACTCTTCATGAATTTTGAGACTTTATTTCTGGAGAAAACTGTTGAACCATTTAATTTCTTAATTTTTCTAGAAGGTACAGTTAAGTTGCTCCTAATTTGTTCCATTTGTATTTTACTAAAATTATTTTTATTAGATTCAATTTTTTGTATGCATTTTACCACCAAAAAATTGCTTTATGCTGATGCAATGATATTTTAAACCAAATACCAACTATAGCTTCTACCATTGTGAGTTCCCTTTTGTGGCCATTATTTTTACCCAAGTCTATATTTCATTACAAAGTATTGATTCTTCCAACAACGTTTAGATAATAGCACCGTTTACCTTGGCAGTTTTAGCTATAATCAGCTTTGTTTTGTGCTGATTCTTCTCCCAGAAATATTCTTTATAACTTGGATAAAAGACTGATCACTTATACTTATCTCTTGACCAATCCATGAAAATATGATGACTATTTTCAGATAATTCCATGATCATTCTACTGTCAGAATCTTTCATCAGACTCAAACACTATCAATTTTGTATGTCTTGTGTACCTCATCAGTGGTCTTGCTGCTCAAAGGGACCATCCACGCCTTTCATTCCTTCTGTTTGAGTCCACGGACAGTTTCCCAAATTACAGTATGCGTTACTTATGCTTCACGTAGGTGACCAAGTTGTTAGTGTTTGCTATCGATTATTCTTTTAGATAAAGATCAATCCTATATGGAGAAAGCCAAGGAAATTGCTGATTTCCAAAGCAATTTAGGTGCCTCCAATGTGAGCCTTTAACCAGTTTCAAATTAGCTGTAGCTCTTTTGGTGTATTCCTTTCCAAACTCTCAAATGCATCATAAGATCGAAATGTCTGGAGCAAGAAAGGTTCAAATGGTAAGGTCAAAATGTCTCCCCTGATCTGTTTCTGTATCTTGAAATGGGAATTTAAACACCCCAGGGCATCTCCGGTGAAGTTTGAGAAGGCTCCCAGCACCTAGCATAGTGCCTGCTGATCCCTGAGGCTGACGGCCTTCCCCAGGCCTTCTCTGAACCTCACTTCTATGAAGAAACTACCAATTTTATCATGTTCAAGAAACTGATTGCAAGATAATACTAAGAATCAAGAAATGCTGTCTTTTTCTCTAAGCTACCAATACTGTTGTGCAAGTTTTGTTAACAATACTATTTTTGATCCTAAGAGAAAGTGTCAACAATTGACTTCTAAAACTAGTCAGGAACCTTGCTTTATCCTCCAATGGTCCTCAAATGGTTCGGTCATTGAAACACCCCAGGGTTGCGGCTATTGTTTGTGGCACCGAGAAAAACAATCATATTCAAGCATGCCCAGGAGATGACAACTATGTCAGGACTGCTGCTTGGCCATCGGTGATGTCAGAGAGGTTAAAATTTTAAAGAAAGCCCTTAGATGAAACAGTGTAATACCCACTCTAACTCACAGAATTATGGCAATAAAGCTACTTGC